GGGGACTAAGATTGCAGTATCTGAGCAGCAATAAGCTAAGAGAATGAACTCTTTCCAGAGTATTCGTAGCTTATTTGGATCTATATAATGCCAATATTCTCCACTTCAAATCTATTTATCAGTTAGCGAGATATCCTCATTAGAAAAAAAAATCGCATCATGGAATTTTATCATAAATAGAATTTATGATTGTCTTGATATTGAATGATTTGAAGAATCGACTATTCTTCGACCGTACTTATATAGAGAGAAACAAATATTTGTTTAGCTGGAATTTTTCAAAATAATCAAAAGACTATAAGACCTATTTCAAAACAAATTTTTCGTCTGAAATTGCGTAAATCAATTTCTTTCATACGTATATTTTCAGCGGTTGACTGGAATATCATCCATGCATAGAAACCTTGAAGAATTTTTTACCATAATTAAGAGCGTTGTTAATTCTTCTTATTAGCTAAAACTCGGAGTGGATCAACAAGGAGAGATATGCGGCTGACGAAGAAATCTCGCCTAAGGATAAATCACTTTTAAATTGAGTCTTATATCATTAAATAAATCCTATTGAGACTAGAGAAAGCTAAAAAGTATTTGTACCCAAAGCATTTCTGTGTTGAATTATGACCATTTTAGTAATTTTTATTCAACACAATGTTCTGATTCTCATAAGATCACCTTCAAAATTAGCCTTTCGATTTCAATCTATCCATCTATAGCGTTCTCAATGAGATTAATTCAGTATGAAAATGTTATATTTTATATGAGATTGAAAATTTTGTTAAGCAAGAAACCAAATTTTGTTTTTATATATCAGAATAGAAGATATTGGGAAATCTGACATTTTCGAAACATATTAGTACTATTGAGAAATTTATTTGTGCAAATTTTAAAATCGAAAGCTAACGTTAAAGGTGATCTCATTAGGGTCAGAACATTAACGATCTTCATTCTTTTTATAAATGATTCCCATTGTTTTATCAAATACAATTTCTTTCTAGGTTTTCAACTCGTATCTTTTGATTATTCTCAATTGGAATTACGTATTCTTGCACATCTTTCTAATGATGAAAAATTAAAAGCACGTCTAATAAATAATACTGATTTTTTCATATCACTTGCTAGTGATCTTTTAAAAAAACCAGAACATGAAATAACACGTGAACAACGTCAAAATGCTAAACAAGTATAAAAATTTTTTATTACTATTTTTTCTTAAAAATCTTTTCAATTAATTTCTAGATTTGTTATGGTATTCTCTATGGAATGTCAAAAGAAACATTTGCACGTGAAACACAAATGAATATCAATGAAGCAGAAGAATTCATTGAAAATTTTTATAAAACATTTCCAATAATGACTCAATATCTTGATGATATTAAACGACATGTTTTGGAACTTGGTTATGTACAAAGTATTTATGGACGTCCATTATATTTTGATTTAAATCATATGACATCGAACGAAATAATGAAAGCTCGAGTAATTCAAATTGAATTTTTTTAATAAAAAAAAAATTTTTTTTTTCTTTGAAAAGATGGAACGACAAGCAATAAATTTTATTATTCAAGCATCTGCCTGTGATATAATGAAAGTGGCTATGGAACGTATTAATCAAACATTAGATCGAATGTTTCCTTTTGATTTAAAAAGTAAAAACAAAAAAAAGACAGAATTTTTTTTTCTGATACAAAAAATAATATAATATTTAGTTCGTCCAACACCTATTCGACCAGTTTATCTTGTTTTACAAATTCATGATGAATTAATATTTGAAATTGAAATAAGTTTACGTACAAATGAAATTATTAATATAATTCATCATGCAATGGAAAAAAATGATCATATTAATTTATTATTACCAGTACAAATTAAATCGGGTGATAATTGGGAATCAATGATATCCGTTGTATAAAGAAATCGATATTTTTGATCATATATATATTTTTTTTTTGTAAAAAAAAACAAATCTGTTTGTTAGATAGTTTTCTGAGCATGCTCGAAAATATGATTCAATATTAAGTTTATCCGTTAAAGAAATAAAGATATTCTTATACAAATATATTTAGAAAAATCAAATATTTGTTTTTTACAATAATGAAATAGATTTGTTTAATGACTTGACTCGAAGCATTCACAAATATAGGCTGAATGCAATCACGATCAATTTTTTATAAGATTGATTAAACCTATTACCTGGTCGATCAGTATAATAAAATATTATATATAGAGCCAATCATATTTGATCTAGACTCATTTTTCAATTATCAATTCACTCGGCGTAAATAGACTAATTCGTATTGCTTTCTTCCCGAGTTGTGATATTTTGTGCTAACGAGAGAACCTCAATAGATGTTAATATATTTATTAGCCAGAGACTTCTGTACGACTTCAGATTTTCTAGAAAATCATGTTTTTTTTAATTTGGTTTTCAAACTACTCAACATACAAAGATTTCGTATACAGTAGCTTGTATGATGAGTTTCAAAATTTGTCGACTTCATATCTTTGAGATACGAAGTTTATAAACTCTGAAAATCTGTATGCATGCTACTGAGAGTGACACTTTTAAATGAAGGTAGTTTCAAGACCAAACTCAAAAACACGATTTTGCTGAAACATTAGGTTCTACAAGGATCTCTGCTGAATAGACACATGTAAAGGTAACTATAAGTTTCGTAGCAATTTTCCATCCCAGAACAGAATATGGTTAGATTTCTAGAGGAAGACTTTCTCTATCGAATGGTGCAAGTACTATCAAGCTTCATTGCGTACCTTTGAGATATGAATAGACGACGCCACCTTCGATGTATTCTGCGATGGGTGCGGTGAAGGTGGCACTCTCTATTGATATCTCAACGGTATGCAATAGAACTTGATAGTACTTATGGCATACCAAAAGTTCTGACCACGACTTTTAAAGAAGCTTTTCAGATAAGGAGATCTATTGAAAAATGAAAAACTGAATACACTATATTGTAGAGCTTTTTGAGGCGCGTCGAATGGTATGTAGTAAATCTTGTTTTCATAGGACTTTGAAGGAGCTAGAGTCAATCTACTGATAGACGACTACACACTCACATCCATACCCTTCATCTCAAGAATGAAAAAAATGAGAACTTCTCGACATAGATTTGAGGATTTTTGTATCTATTTGATGATTTAACCTTTTGAGTACAGCTGTCTTCAGGTTGAAGACAAGCTGAACGTAAGAATTTTTTTCGTTCTATCATATTGATACACAGTTGTGAAACGAAATGTTCATTAATACAGCTGTATCAATCCATGCTTCATATACGATAAAATATACATGTATACAGTTGATTCACAAAGATAGAACACTAGAGAGAGAGAGAGAATGATTTTTCGATTTTTCTATAAGATCGTAATGAACGCAAGACTTGTCGGTATCCAAGAGGTTAACGGTTCTAATACCTAATGTAATTGTTTCATTTGTATTCACAATAGATTTATTCATAGCTGTATTCTTGTAATGAATTTTCTGTTTTTTTTTGGTTAAATAATACGAAATTTTACTTCAAATAGAAACTAATCATAAAATTGTTAAAAACAATATAAAATAGAGAAGGCTGATAGACACCTTCTATCTGTAGTGAATTCAAAAAATAAATGAGATCGTATGATACACATGTACCGCACATCGTCACTGATGATAAGAATATGTGTATGTACTTGGAGTATCTTTTTGTGACAAGCAGAAAAGCATCACTGTAAACGTTCGAATTTATGAAGTATAAAGTATCTCTTAATTTATCAACATTAAGAAAAGACCATATATATTATATGACAATGTTGGTTGTACAGCTAGTTGTCATCATCATAAATGTGTGTAATTAAAACAAGAAGAATAGAGAAAACTAAAATTAGAAATCCATTGAAAATGACAATACTTAAACAAGTATATCAAGGGCCTATAGGTAAAAACTTAATCCATCAATAAGTGCATATGTAAAATATTGTGAGCATTTCATCATAATTAAGACAATATGGAAAGAATATGTCTATCATCAACGTACAGGTTTTTCTTTACGGCATAAACAATATCTTTTGAACAATATTACATTTATTTCAACAATAAACAAACTTTATTCCATTTTGATAATCTGAGGGGGGAGGGCATATCATCACCGATACATGAGAGATAAATTAAATTGATATTTTGATTTTTAATTTTTATTGATTATCATTTTCCCGATGCAGAAAGATAAATGAGTGTAAAATATGATTATTCGTTGTTTTTTGATTACTTTATAATATTAGAGATGTTAATCTCAATGAGAAGGACCGAAGTGTATTTTCTTATGCATCAGCTAGGCTTAATTTTTTAATGACATTCACTTTGATTTTATTCTGTCATCTGCTAACGACATAGATATTTGAATAATGAATAGGTTAAATTATTTGAAAAGTAAATCTTGTTTATATTAAAATCTTATATTAATAAATCATGGTTATCCTGCATAGAAAAGGTTTTCTACCGAATGAACGCATTCGATCCGAATTTTCTATGTCCATGTTGATTACTTAGTTCTTTTAGTAGTGAAAATTCAATTCAAAATGTACAGTTTATTGTAATTATGATAAAATGTACATAAGATTTTACATAGGGGTATATTTCCTTATAGATCAAGTTTCTTATCTATACGTCATGGTCATACTTATTCAGATATTGCCCTTGTCAAAATTTCTTTCTGTATTCTTCTTCTTCTTTTCATAATGCGATTTCATTGCAGTCAAGACCATCGTTAAATAAACATTAACTATTTATACATTTAGCGGATGATTATTATCTTTTTTTTTTTTATAACACTAATCAATTAAGCAGTGATGTTATGAGATAATTTTTTCTCCATTGATTCCTTAGTTTACAGTCACGCTTGCTTGCCTTTCTGAAACGGATTGTACACTTTAAATACGGAGAAAAAAAGCGATGCAACCATCAGTTTTATATTAACAATAACTATAAAAGGAGGTAATCCACATACATGTTGGTAGCATCACCAGTGCCTACTTTTACAGGAGCTCGAAGGTAAATCAAATGTTTTAACGTTTTTTTCTCATTGATAAAATTTTCTTATGTATATAGTGGAGCTACAGCTTTTCTACCATTAGGTATCCTTTGTTGTATTGGTATAATACTTTTTTTATTTGCTGTAACAATCGTCTTATCTCTTATTCCAGTCTATTTGCATAGAAGAAATTTATCAAGTAAGTACAAAAGAAAAGATAAATGATAATGATATGGATGAAAATAATTTTCTTATTGAAGAGTTTCCTTCAAATGCAAGAAGATATATTGTATTAAGACCAGAACAAGGTGTTCCAGCATACGGTAGAACATCATGGAGTGCATGTAATACAATAGCAAATCAGGTACGACAAAAAATTTAATTACGATCAATGCACTTGTTTTTTTTCCTCAGATGACTAGTGCAGCTGGTCTTCCTTCGAATGTAGTGACTCCACTGTCATGCACATTTGCTGTACCATCATCGGGTAGACGTCGACGATCTCGGTATGCATAGAAATAAATAAATTCAATAGACTAATATTGTTTTATTATTTTTAAAGATCAATGAGTCATATTCGTCGTCAGGCTCGAAATGGAAAGTTGTACATGGAAGCACTGATAAACTACAATAGGTGCCAACGTTGTTATTTACGAACATTTTTAAATAGATTGATTGGCTTGAGATTCGCTGCAGCGTTCGATTTTTATGGGGCTCGAGCGGTAACTTTCGTTGTAGAAAGTATAAGTAATACGGGTAATATTATGAGATTATTGTTTCTATACATATTTGATAATATTTTGTTTTTTCATATCATAGGTTTTAGTGGTCTATCTACTGATGCTATACCGACCGCTACTGGAACTGCTAGCGTTGGCTGAGTTTGAGCCTGGTTAAAACGAATAGTTTCAATATTTAAACTGAACAAACTTTTCATGAAAAACACTATTACTAATTCCTACTAATCTAGATAAATTAACGAAATTTATTGTGATGAATACTAATTTTTATACTATGTATGTCATATATATGTAGTTAGACTTTTTGTTTTTCTTATATATGTGTACGCGAGAAAACAAAAACAATACTAAGATTTCATATACGTACACATTCATGTGATTATAATTAACCAAGCGCTTTTTCCTTATTTCTTATTTTATGCGTTAATAAATATGTTAATTTTTGCTTTTTTTATTCTTATTCGATAAACTCATTGATTACGACTACAATATAACCTCTTTATAGTGGACACCTAAGAAATTAATACCCTCTTTCTCGATATTATTTTGCAAAGAAAGACGTGCTGAGACTGTTTATTGAAACGTGTTTGAATTTAATCAATACATTTTTGAAAACGGTCAGTTATTGAACATTGTTTAGACACTTTCGTATCTTCGATGGCATCAGTATTGACAATTTCAACAAACAGATCGTTTCATTCATTGGAGACAGAAAAGTTAGAGTCGATGTTTTATATCTATCTCGTCTACTCTATTCATTATCGATTGTTTTACTCGTTATATCAATCAAATCAAGACGTCTATACATGTACACCTTTAACCGAATCAAAAAAGTATGATGCACTTAATCAAGTGTCCACACTCAAGAGGTTCATTTTCAACAAAAACCGCTCGGAGGGAGGGACCATTAGGTGTCCACATAGGGAGATTTTACTGTATATTGATATACAAACAGCAAATTTCCAAAACTAGTCAATAAAAAGACTTAAATTCATGCGTATAAATAAAATACAAAATTGCACCAATTTCCTTCCGAAAATCAGTATCCTATGTTTGAAAATTCGAAATTTCATCATCGTTGACCTCCACAGTAATCAATTATGAAAATTTACTCTATGTGCATCAATATAGTATCATTAATAAATTTTGCTTTATTTGGTGTGTCGATGTAGTAGGCTTGAACATGAGTTTTGTGAAGTTATTTTTTTTTCTTATACTTCCACTCCAGTCACATACTCTCAATACAAATTCATTTATAATAGTATCTAAATCACGTTCAAAATAATGTTCAATATAAACTAAACATAAACTCGATAGTCTCTATTGACCTATTGCGACATGAGTATGTGTAAGTGCAGTGAAAGCTTTATTCATAGCAGTAGTAAATCAGAAGCTAATAATTTCTTATAACATTTCCCAAATTTTTTTTTCGGAGAAATAATTGTGTTCTATTGCTTCGCTCATGGATCGTCTATAGCCACTGACAACATTTATATGCTTAAGCTTTTGCTCGTCTCCGGCTCGTTTTCTCTATATTTATTTAAAAAAAAAACTAATTTGCTTCTGAAGTATCATTTCGTGAAGGCAGGGAAGCGTGACTATAAATTACGGAATCGGTGAAGAAAAACCTCTCTCATAATTTTATTTCTTCACTGATCAACATTAGTAAAAGATATTAATCGTCCTCGAAATTTATATTCAGACAACATTTATTTTATAGTTAGCCTCCATCGCAATGCATCAACATCATCAGACAAGTAACATTTTTCATCCTAATTATATTATATCGACCATGAACTGTTTATTAAACATGTTCTCACTGCAAAAAGAATCGTGACCATATTTCAACGAGCAATGGTTCATTAAATCTTTGTGCAGTGTTCTGATATACAGATTATGACACTCGTAACTCATCTATCAATCAAATGGAAAAACAGTTCAGTCAGAATGATCAAATTCGAGTGTACTTTGCATTTTGTCGTAATAAAATGCATACAATACTTTACATAAGTGTATACTTCTTCATAGATAAAGTTTCTAGCTATCAACAAATTTCTAATTTTTTCTTCCTGCATACTTTGCATATGTCTCTTATTTTAATGAAGGCTAGCATTAAAGCAAATGTTGTCCGAATATTAATTTCGAGGACGATTAATATCTTCTGTTAATGTTGATCAATTAAGTAGTAAAATGATGAGAGAGCTTTTCCTTCATTGATTCCTTGCCTTTTTAGTCACGCTTCCTTGCTTTCACAAAATAATACTTCAGGAGCGAATTTTTTTTTTTTTTGAAATAAATACAGAGAAGACGAGCAAAAGCGAGTATATATATCCAACAGTAAAATACTATCATTAGTTTCATATTCGCATCTGATGTAAAACCAGGTAGTTGACATACTTCAAGCATATACATGTTGTCATCACCAGTGTCTGTTGATAAAGGCGCGGAAAAGTAAATAAAGTGTTGGTTTTTTTTTACTTTTGTTGATATTTGATTCTGCATTCATGTATATAGGGCAGGTATAATTAGTGCACCAATAGCAACCATTTGTTGTCTTGGTGTAATACTTCTCATAATTGCTGGAACAATCATCTTAGCTCTCATTCCGGTCTATTTACCTAGGAAAGATATACCAAGTAAGTAGGAAGATATTTGACAAAACAAAAAGACAAACGATAATGAATAATTTTCGATTCAAGATCTTCCTTCAACTGCAACAAGATATATTACATTAAGACCAGAACAATATATTCCACCATATGGTATAACATCATATTCTGCATGTAGTACAATAGCACGTCAGGTGAGATAAACAAATTAATTATAACCAATGCTTATTTTTTTTTTCAGATGGCTATTTCATTAGGTCTTCCAGCGGTTGCAATAAATCCATCTTCATGCACATTTGCAATATCATCAAGTAGACGTCGACGATCTCAGTAGGCATAGAAATAAATAACTTCGACAAATTAATTTTGTTTGATTATTTTCAAAGACTAATGAGTCGTTTTCGTCGTCAGACTGGAAATTCGAAATTATATATGGTAGCCGACATTGTATACGCTTCCTGTGCACTTTGTCGTTTACGAACATTTTTAAGTAAATTAATTGGCTTGAGATTTGGTGCAACATTCAATTATTATGGTACTCGTGCTGTAACTTTTACTATAGAAAGCATACGATATACTAGTAAAGTCATCAGATTATTGTTTCTATGCATTTCCATTGAGATTGTGTTTTTCATATCTTAGGTTTTGGTGGTCTATCTTCTATACCTACAACAACAACAAGTACTACAACAACTACATCTTCAACTACCACTTAAATGCTACCACCTGGTTAAAATGAATAATTTCAATATTTAAACTGAACAAACTTTTCATGAAAAATACTATTACTAATTCCTACTAATCTAGATAAACTAAAAAAATTTATTATGACGAATACTAATTTTTATACTATATATGTATGTAGTTAGACTTTTTGTTTTTCTTATATACGTGTACGTAAGAAAACATAAGCAACACTAAGATTTCATATACGTACACATTCATGTAATTATAATTAACCAAGCTTATTTTTCTTTTTGTTTCTTATTTCATGCATTAATAAATAATTATATTAGTTTTTGCTTTTTCTCATCATTATTCAATAAACTTATATTTTTTTTTAAATACAAGAAGTAAATAAATACATACTTTTACGGTACTTTTTGATACATTTAGTAAAAGGGAAATTTTCGCAGGGGATTTTAGATGAGTAAATACATTTTTGATAATACGGAAGTGAAATTGTGTAGCATGAGTCATCGAAATGGTATAGATGAACTAAGTAGTAAAAAAACATTTCGAATGTTTCATTTTTTCGTTTAAGAAGTTCCATAAGGGGGCGTGGAAGATCTTAATAGGATAAGAAGTTATGTATCGTACGATCTTTTCTTTATTAACATTGGACAAGGATACATATCGAGTGCATTGTCTATTCAATGGTGATATAAAAATCGCAGGTTGTATGCATAAGAAAAGAATCGATCACATAATCGTGTTGTCTCAACTGCAGAATATCGACGAAATATCAAAAAAATATCCTTTGTTTTCAGCTATGAAATGAATGGAAAAAAAAAGATTGAAGAATTGATTTTCTCAAAAGAAAGAAGAAAGTGGTCGAAATCATTGTCATTCGTATTTTCTTTTAATCCTACACTTGTTCAAGAGTATATCAACGAAAAAAAAATCATTTCTATGCGTATAGAAAAAATTTGCATGAGTTCATTCATGAATCTGATTTGCCAAATGAAAGAAAATATCATTATTATTAGCATTGTAGTATGTCAATAAATGACTAATATAAATTTATCATAATTGAATTGTTTTTTTCTCAACTGCTCAGCGTCGACCCTAATTTTATTTTGAACTTTTAAAATAGTCATTGTACAATTTGAGCCGTTTTCATCTAGACTGAATCAGTAATATCTTGATGTTTTCTATTTTTTTATTGATGTGCATATTTTTAAACTTTGCTACCTTTTGCTAGAAAGAAATGAGTTGCTATTAAAAAAAAAAGTAGGTGACTATCATTCAAATAACTACGAAAGTTTATTAATTATTGCTGACAATTCGATTTTTAATAGTTTTTTATTATTATCTAATAACCTATAACTACATATATGATAGTAAAAAAATATTACATATTAAGAAGAAATGACAATATGTATACGCTTGAGGTATGTCGTGTACCTTGTTATATGACCAATGCAAATATGAAGTTAATTATAGTATTTCGTCTCTGAATGTATATTCATTTTTTTTTCTGTATTTATTTCAAAACCAAATTTGTCTCTTTTTGTGAAAGACATGCTAGTGTAGCGATAAACCTATGAATCAATGAAGTATGACCCGTCTCTCATTACCTCGCTGCTTAAGTAATCAATATTAAAAGAAAATATTAATCGTTTTTCAAGTATATAATAAGACAACATTTACTGTAAAACTAATCTTCATCATGATGGATGCGCTTAATTAAAATAAGTGGGATTGAGAAAAAAGAAGGAATGTGATATCTAAATCAGTATGACGTTTAATCTGAGAGTAGATCAATGTTTTAAAACTCTTTTGAATGATAAACAAAATTTATTCGTTTATGATAACTTGCAATATCATCGCTGATACTCGAGAAATAAATCAAATTTTTTTTTCTTATTACCATTATGTGATGAAGAAACAAAACAAATTATCATTTATCGTTGATCACATCATCAAATTATCGATATTTATAACAAATAAGTCTCATCGAAACATATGTTTATATACATCAGATACTTTTTATTTAACAACATACACTCGGATGTATTTGATCACTGATCAATTACATTGCAATGACATGCATATTTGAATAATCAATAGATTAAATTAAAATCATTTTTGTATTTTTAGAATAAAGGCATATGATCTGCTCGTGCTATTCATTGTGAAATAAATATTTCACTACGAACTGTCTAATACAATATCAGCGTTGGAACCGGTACCGGTTCGGCCGGACCGGTTTAGAAAGTCAACCGGGCCGGTAAATACCGGAAATTTACCGGTTTAAATTTAAAAAATATTATCTTTACTTAGCTTCTATTCGGTAAAAAGAACTATGTATTTTGCTATGAAGTAGAACAAATTCTCCATCATTATACATATATGTCCAGAAAGTCTTTCGATAGTGCCAATATTAAAAATTTTGTTCAGTTTATAATCGATATTTATCGCAATGATTGTAATACTATGATAGACACGAAGACAATTAGACATATGTTTTATCAGTTTCGAAATAGACCAGGCAGTACTATATAAATCAGTTAGGAAGATCTTAATATTCTTTTGAAAAAATGATGATGCTTCATGATTATAAAGATTATGGATATCTTTTCTAAAAGTTTCATAAAAAGTCAAATAATATTTTCTCAAGTACGAATATTGAAATTTTCTACGATATGCTTATAAACAAAACTATTCCTAGGTCGATTTCAGTTTTCTGTATTTATGATACGAGAAGCTAAATCATATTGTTTCAACCGTATTATTTAAATATTAGATAATTCAATTTACAACTAGAAATAACTTTTTCAATTTCTACGGTACTTTCGAATGTTTGGAACCATTTTAACGCGGTAAGCTTGACCGGAAATTGGCCGGTTTGCCGGAATTTCACCGGTTCAGAAATGATTAACAACCGGCCGGATCGGACCGTTTTATCGTTTTCTTACCGGTGCCAACCCTGTACAGTATCAACAAATTAAAACAAACAAATTCACTTAAACATCGAGGCAGCATAAAAATGATGATTTTACATATTCAATCTTTATTTCAACTTTTTCGTAAAATTACACGTCATTGAACAAAAGATTCTAATGACGAATTAAAATGTGCATCTAAAAATTGTCAGAAAGTTCATGTCTGGAATGCTGTAAGTATGAAAGATGCATTGATTTATCACACGTAATCTTGATAGTTCATATGCTTGAAAATTATCTTCTTTCTGCTGTTAGACATAAGTAATGAAAGGAAATAACGTAGCATTACTGTTCACATTTCGTCGAAATTGGTGTTTACCGCAGGACAACAATTCAAAACATACTAGTAATATTTGTTAACAATTCATCAACAAAGAATGTACCACAATTATCAGAGTGGCCATTTTATAGTTCGGACGCTAATTCTATAGAGAACATTTGATCGATCGTAAAACGCAATGTTGAAAAAAAAAGAAAATCTGAAAATATTGATGAACTCAGACTTTTTTTTAACTGAAGATTTCAAAAATTGTGTGATGTTTGTCTCTTAAATTTCTTCTAAAGATGAACGAATAAACTATTAAACTACGGTGTTCAATAGTACTCGTCGTACGCTATGAATTCCTATAGGAAACATTTGAGTAGGACACATATGTAATGAGATGTTTGTTTAACAAGTTGTACAAGTTTTTTTGCAAACACCTGTATATAAATAAATGAATTCAAAAGGCTAACTTTGTTTTATTATTTTTAAAGGCTAAAGAGATCGAAACTTAAAGAAATTCGTTGACCTGACATTCAGATCAAGGTTTGATGTTTTTGGTTCTCGTTTCGAAATTTTTACTGTAGACAATGTAGATGATAATGGTAACCTTATCAGAGTATTGTTTCTATGCATATTCTTTGATTTTGTTTTTCTCATATGAGTATTTTTTTTTTATAATATTCGTCCGTGATAGTGACACGACAAAAATAACACAAGGATATGATTACAGGTACACTGATCACTACTTTTTCTGTGTTTCTTATTGTATGCGTCAGTACTTTGAGTGCAAGAAAAAACTAAATAAATAAATAGATACATATAGTCACATCGTCTATATAGATTAAACAAGATTTCGTTGCCAGTTCTTCATGTTTTTAGGTGTGTTTTGACCAAAAGAAAATTTTGTCATGTGGGTAAATACACTTTTATAATAAGGAAGAAAAATTGTAAACATCAATCATCAGGATTATTTAGATGAACTAAGTAGTATATAACAAATTTATCAATGGATTTGGTCTTTAGATTTTTTATTTTCTTTAACCATTGATGAGTAGATCATAAATGAATAAAACAATAGTGAAAAATAAATCATTTTTTTTTATGCATGTTTTCTTTCAATATAACATTTGGTCAAGGATATGCCAACGAAAAGATCATTGTATGCTTATGGAAATATTTGCATACATTCATTCATGTATCTAAAAGAAAATGCCATTATTATCAATACCGTAGCATCGAAAAAGAGATACTTTTTCAAAAACAAAATCCTATTAACGCAATCTCTGTAGGATTGAAATGTGAAACATGATGTAGTTGCTGTTGCCAATCGTAGATTAATTATGACTAGTCACTCCTCACATGTTGGTAACCTCTGTGTCGAGGAAGTGGATCTCAATTTGGCCTCTATACTTCAATACTGCTTTTAGATCATGTTTCGCAAGTTCTAATGATTTCAATAGTTGATTCATTTGTCTGATTAATTGTGTGTATGTATACTTTCGTTTGTTATATATATATATATTTTTAAAAGAAGTATGTCTCAATAATTAATTGGAAAATAGAGGTATGAGAAGAACGTTTTTCTCAAAAGAAATGAATTGCAATAAGAAAAAAGTAGATAAGTATTATTTAGATAATTACAAAAGTTTTTAAATTAGTAGGTAAAATTATATATAATAATTTATTGACGTATATTCAACCTTGATGCTCTTTCCCATAATAAATAAATAAATAATTGAAGATAATTTAAATAACTATGAATATTTATCAAATAGTATTTGAT